CCCTTGTACTCAACAAACTGGAATGGCAAATCATGCATAATAATACAAGATGCAACCAACTCACGCCATTTTTCAGAGTCAAACTTGCAAGTATCAAGAGATAAAGTTCCACTATCACGAGAGATAAGCATTTGACCGATGTCACGAGTATCTCTTTTCTTACAAGTTTTAATATGGCGACTCATATTACCTGTTCCATATTTGCTTGAAGCAAGATATTGCTGGCCGCATTTCTTACAAGCACTTCGAACCTTTCCATCTGCCCCCAAAGGAAGTATGTCGAAAAATTTCCACACTTTTGACTTCAAAGTTTTTTTCAGCGGTTTCGCAGAGCTCGTATTAGCAGAGAAACTCTGTTCAACCTCAACTTCAAACACGTCATCTTCAAGGTCCACTCGCATTTCACTATTACCTTCACCTTCAACATCTTCACTTACAACCTCTAAATTTACTTTCTCCATCTAAAAAAAAACAAATCCATTTAAAATTAGAATGAAATATTCTTTGATTGATAATAAATCTGTTAAAAAAAAGGACAATAAAAGGAACAAATAACATCAACATGCTACGAGTATCTATTTGATGAAATTTCATATGATCTAAAGCAACATCTCTTTGCTGCTGTCGCTGTCATTATAAGATAGTTATCTATATCATTGTGTAACTAGCTTATAATGACAAATCATAGCATTTAGACAGAGGATTTAATGAGCGGAGCCACTTTAGCAAATAATCTACCAGCAAAATTAAATCTACCAATTGATTCTTCTTCGTACCAGCAAATAATCAACCAGCCTAAGAAAGAAGAAGAAGTTGCTTACCAGCCTAAGAAATTTCAAATCTACCAGCAAATTTCATGCAATAACAGAGAATGGGGATGAGATGTTTACCTTCGAGAAGTCCAACCGTCGAGCCGTTGAGAAGGCGAAGATAATCGACCAAGGGGCCATTGAGAGAGCCGTGAGGGGGCGGCTGAACAGTGAGGTGAGAGAGAAGAGCGAGAAGAGAAAGAAAAGAGAAGGGGCGGCTGAACCGTGAGGTGAGAGAGAAGAGCTAGAAGAGAGGAGGCGGCTGCTAGAGAAGAGAAGAGGAATGGCGTGCGTGACTGTGAGAAATGAGAAAGAAGAAATGAAAGGGGGTGAGGCTGCTGCAAATGAGGGTGAGGAGAAGGAAGAAAAGTGTGTGTGTGCGTGTGTGGGTGTGAGGGAGGATTAGGGTTTTTTCTCTTATGAGACTAAATTACTAAAAGGTCCAAAATTAAAAAAATAGTATAAAATTAATAAATTAACTAAACGGGTTAATTTAGTGTCATACGGGTTAACACTAACCCAACCCTTTTTCAGACGGGTCAATTTCGGGTTGACACTAAATTGACCCGGGGTTGATGTTTTTGACACTAACCCGTAAAAAATCGAGTCGTGTTCGTGTCGTGTCGTCGTGTCGTAACCCGTATTGCCAGCCCTAGTCTAAACTAATCATCAAAATGGTAGAACTACTGAAATTGAGCAAATATTTCATTAATGTCTGATAATTTTTTCCATACTGGACACATTGAAATATTATCTTACTCAAGTATCTCCTCAAGAAAATAGTGCACTTCCAGAGCCCAACAACACTGAAACATAAGAAACGAGACAACTATATTTATACCAGTATCATAGGAACATTGTTAGGGAACTCCTGTTTGATAAAGTCCACCTTATGATCAATCTGTTCTTGTAATGAGAATAAGTTTCCATTCTCCGAATTCTGATAAGAAGAAAACTTCGCGTAAGAATATTGCGTTCGACAAAAGAGTGAAAGAAAATTAAAAACCAATTTTGTTGCAATGTCTATACACAGCTACTCAACCAAAAGAAGGTTGTTTCAAGCTTTATTGCATGATTAATGGATTACTTGCACTTAAAAAAAAAAATAGTCACAATATCTTCTTTTGTAATACTTTTAGTCTCAACTTTATAACTTATATGCATTTAGTTATAAAGTTATGTTATGACTAGAACTTTTTATCACGAACTTTTTAGTGTGGCTAAACCTTTTTCCCATGGCTAAAAGTTTTGGTCGTAACAAGCTTTTTACTATAAGTGGTATTTAGTCACACAACAATGTTGTGGCTAAGAATATCACCAAAATTATTGTGATTATTATTATTATTATTATTGTAATTAGTCTAGAGAACTTTATTTTAAAAATTAATTTTTGTGACCACTCAATATATTTACAAATAACTTTCTACCCCTTATAATCTACATTATTCTAGTTTGCCAAAGCCACAACTGCATAATAGTACAATGAAGATTGAGGGCAAGAAGCAAAAGACACATGAGACTTAAACAAGCAAAATGTAGGGGTACCTGTTTTGTGTGAGCTATGTACCCAACAACTGATGGCGCAAAGAAAATGCAACAGCATAATCAAAATCACGTTTACAAAATTATAATAATAATAATAATAATAACAACAACAACAACAAAATAATAATAACAAAATAATAATGATCAAAACCACCAAAAAATCTAACAAGAAAACAAAAGGGGAAAAATAAATAAATAAATAAGTAAACCTTAGTTCATCAAATGATATCTTGCCTGTCACAGACACATGTCCTCCAAGCTGCTCATAAAGTGATTCCACAAAGTCTATGTAAAATGTTACCACACCTGCAAGTGATAAAAAATCCAATATTTTATAGGTGTGGTAATGAAAAATCCAATTGCATAAAAAAAAAAAAAAAAAAAAAAAACCAAATTAAAAAAAAAAAAAAAAAAAAAAAAAAAAAAAAAACAAGTAATAAAAATCCATGCCCAAAAATATTTTTTTTTTCTTTTGTCTTTATATAGCAAGGCATTCTAATGGCTATATATCGTTCAACTAATAATAAAAAAAATTTAGTACCTGGGTTTCCAGGGATAAATAGGACATGAAATGTAGGCTCATCAGCATGAATCTCCAATAATTCAGTAGCGAAACTAACAGGAAAAAAAAAAATATATATATATATATATATATATAACATAAAGGCTGAAAGTCTAGAACATGAAAGCCCAAGAAATATAGAACGACGAAATTGGAATTAGTTATTTCATGTACCTTGACACGTAGCATAAACGAAAGTTGGCATGGCTTTTAGTTTTAGACTGCAAAACTTCTTCACCCATATTCTCTTTAACTTACGAGAGAGAGTCAATAACAGGGTGTGTTACTCTTAATTTGATCTATCTATTGGTAGCAAATGCAAGAAAAATATACGAGTTCGTTAGGATCGAGGAAAGTAAAAATGTTTGTAACTTAAAAAAAAAAATTATTAGAACATGAGTAAGTACATGAAACAGCCGGAGTAGGGACTATCACTAGCTAGCAAGTATTAATTAGGACATGGTGGGGTGGTCTAGTGGTGGACTGCCGTGGCGATTTTGTGGTCGAACATTTGATAAATGTGAAGGTTTGTGCCTGTCAACTTAGTTCTCAAATTAGGATGTTTAGGTCCACACTCTCTATGCATCTTTACCGCTATTATATTTGGTGGGGTTATAACGACGCACTCATTTGATAAATGCGAAGGTTTGTGCCTGTCAACTTAGTTCTCAAATTAGGATGTTTAGGTCCACACTCTCCATGCATCTTTACCGCTATTATATTTGGTGGGGTTATAACGACGCACTCCTCATTGAGGGGTAGGGCCCGATCATAAGGCTTTTAGTAAATATTATTGTCAATGTTCATGAAAGAGAAAAGAAAAATGAAGAGCAATTCTTTTTCCATCTAATAATGATCTAATGGACCCTGCACAATATAAAAAATGAAGAAAAAAATATCAATCCTTTCACCTCTTTAATAATTATTCCATATTAAAAGGAATGATGTTGAATTTATTTACATATTCTTAATAAGTTCTTATGTTATAAACCAATGATTATGTAATTGTGTACAATGAACTGTTAGTAAATAATTAATATCAATAATATTACTGTTTCTAAGTTTAATAAACATTATAGATAAATGGAGATTGTTTTGCATTACACCATTTACTATAATGAACTCTAGAAATGAGACCAACAACCGTTATTTATATTATTTTATTTATTTCTAATCTCACTTTTATTCCATACGGCGGTGTACGTGGCCGAAAAATAAACCACTATAATCGTTTAATTCTTATTTTTGCTTTTTTTTTTTTAATAATTGTATTGCTCTCAGTATTATAAAATTATGACGTCTAGTTCTTAATAGTACTAAACAATTCTCATTCTCACATAAACATGCCATAAAAGTATTGACACACTTATATTTGAGAAAAGGAGACCCCCACTTACCGCATTAGTATTTGTATCATATATCACACGAGAAGCTTGCTAAACATCACTAATGTCGTTTAGCACCTATATTTAGTATACGCAAAAAAAGAAGTACAATGGATTTTGAGTTGACATAATATTTAGTAGAGGGAAAACTCAAAAATAATGTGGTAAAAATTATTTCGCATCTTAGAGGCTTGATGATCTTGATCTTGATATTTGATTGTTGATCAAAGTTGCCACATGGTGAGCAACCCAGTACGAGCAATCCTCAAAGCAACAGAAATAATGGCCCTGGCCCTTTCTTTCTATTGACAGAGCAATACCTGGGACCTGCCTTGAAATCTGTGGCAACAAGAAAGTTCCAGAAAAGCGTCACCAATAATAATGCTGATAGTCAACTAATTACTCACTTTTCTAGCTCTGCAATCTCAATTACTGAGTATGTTTTGTGGACAAAACTAATAGTTATAACAAATACAACAATGCTATAAAGCTCCAGTGGTCCTAATAGAAGGTGGGTCCCGAAATATGAGACCTAGAGATAGGGTTGACTTTCTACTTAATATCCGGTGCTGTTTTTAAACAATTTTTCTAACAAACATGACATAAGCCAAAATGTGTATCATCTTGGTAAATCGTCCTCATCAACGCTAGAAAATCAATAAAAAAAAACCAAACATGCTTTTCATGGCATAACTTTTGCCTTGGACAACCTTCAAGAACTCCTAGTTTACCAACTTGCAACCATTTGAATATCAAATACAGAGAAAAGGAACTTGCAGCTTTATATCCTATATTTCATTACCTAAAGGAAAACAAACAATTATTTAAGGATTTATTAGTACCAAAAATTAAAGGTTGTCTGGTCTTTCAAACCTGAGCGCTAAAATGCATGTTCATGCCAAAGACTTCAAAAGCTTTGCCATGCTTGCGAATGGTGGTTCGCAATCATGGTGATAATATTGCTGCTTACCTCTTCGTAAAATTGCAGTGGTCCCCAATGATCATCACTGCCAAACAAAAATGCAATTTTCTCCTTCTTATCTCTCATGAATTCCCAATCTGGCATTTCTGCAAGCTAGCATTGGACCGGAATAGTAAGTAAATTATCAATCGTACTTTAGTTTTCCTACTACACAAACCGTTGCAGAAATTTATCTTTGTGGAGTTCAAGAAGAGATAGTTAAACCGGTATTAGCATTCTCAAAGTTTAGTCGTTAAATCCCACTTTTGTTGTAGTCATGACATGATATTCTATTTAAACATGATACAAAATTCAGTGTCTACAAACTTTTGGCCTCAATCCATTAATATCTTAAGCAAACAGAAAGATTGTACCTTTTCAAATTCTGTATGGACTAGGAAGAGAATATTCCGCATTGTATGATACTGCAAGTTTCCAGGAAAAAAATAATAATTAAATCACACGCGTGCACTAAGCAATACCTTTTGACATGAATTCTAAGAAATTCTCCCTACAAGTGAGCAGTTAAATAAGAAAACAGATTGACTATGCACATAAGAAGGCAAATCAGACCTTAGCCAAGTGAGAGCAAACAGCCTCAACTGCATTACTAGACCATGACTTCCCAAGAGCTTTAGACACAACAAATCGCTTAACCGAGATCGGTAATAGTCCCAATAACCCTACCATGGAACTGAGGGCCACGGAAAAGGTTGAACTCCTGAAGCACATTATTCTGTCCTATTAATGCCTTGAGATTGAATTGCCAAAGTTACAGCTAGAGAAACACAGGTCTAAAGGCAGAAACAATATTCAACATGCATTTGGATTAAGCAACATTCCCATACTAAACCCATTCATTTTGTCATTTTTAAGATATCATACACATATTTGATTTACAAATCGTACAGAACAGAGTGGGAAATTTTTTTTTTTTTAAAAGGAGTGTACATAAATAAGTCATACACTATTGCAGTTGACATTAAGTAGAAAAAAATAAAATGCCTTCCAACACATAGTAAGGTAAGGAAAAGGATGTTAGTTATGGAGTAAAAAAAAAAGAGACCATACTTTGAAATCTTTTGAAGGAAAAACTGTTCTCTGGATTGTGGGTTTACCGCCAAAAACGGATACAGTCCAACGCAATAAAACACCTAGAATGCCCAAAGAGAAGTCAGAGAAGAGGTTATCTATGTCTAGAAACATATGAGAAAGCAAAAAGATAAAAGTTAAATAAATAAATAAATATTCGCATAAAATAGTCATACCTTCTCTGGAATTCTCTTAAATGTTTCAATACATATATATCCACCAATAGAGTGCCCAACCTATACCAATAAGTTTCATGTCAGCTTTTGAACTCTTTCACAACTAGAAACCAAATTCTCCATGTATCTTAAACTACTTTCTTGAACAAATAATTAACAATATCCCAGATAAATTTTCAAAAATTTTTACTTAGGTAATTTGTGATAACAACAATATATCATATCACAATATCAATATGACTTATCAACGGAAGTACACGTGTACATAACAAGCAAGCGCAGGTCAGATCGCTTTAGTCATCGGAGCGAAAGAACTTCTTAGATTGAGCGAATTTTTTATTAGTCTGGTAATTTTTTCTTTCACATAGGACATATTGAAATAATATTCTATTTGAGTATCTGATTTCTCCTAAAGAAGGAATAGCACCTCCAGAGTTCAACTGAACTTGAACATAAGAAACGAAGATGACTAAATGTTCATACCAGTATTATAGGAACTTCATTATTAGGGAACTCCTGTTTGATAAATTCCACCTTATGATCAATCTGTTCTTGTAATGAGAACAACATCCCATGCTCCCAATTCTGATAACAAGAAAACTTCGCATGAGACTATTCCGTTCACAAAAGATTAAAAACCAGTTTTGTTGCAATGTAGAAACAGCAGCTCAACCAAAAAGAAGGCCGTTTCAATCTTTCTTGGATAATTAATGGATCACTAATTAGGCTTAGCAGCTTTACTTTGAAAATTAATTTCTTTTTATCAGTCAATAGGTTTTACAAATAACTTTCCACACTTCATAATCTTCATTATTCTAGTTTGCCAAAGCCACTGCATAAAATGTGGTACCTGTTTTGTGTGAGATATGTGCCCAACAACTGATTATGCAAAGAAAAAGCAACAAAATATTCAAAACCACCAACAAATCTTTAAAAAATAATAATAATAACTAACATAACATAACATAATTTAGGAAGTGATATGTTGCCTGTCACAGACACACGTCCTCCAAGAAGCTCAAAAAGTGATTCCATAAAGTCTATATAAAATGTCACAACACCTGCAAGAGGGGGAAAAAAATAATAATAATCCAAGCCCAAAATCCTAACTTCATTTAAAGCAAGGCATTCTGATTGTTATGTTATGTAGTTCAACTAATAACAAAAGCAAGTACCAAAATGCCCAAAACTCAAATAAAACAGACCTGGGTTTCCAGGGATAAATAGGACATGAAATGTTGGCTCATCAGCTTGAATCTCCAGTAATTCAGTAGCGAAACTGACATATATATATATATATATATATATATATATATATATATATAAGAATGAAAACTTTAGCAGATAAGAAGAAAAAACACAGAAATATAAAACAGAAAATGGGAGTACCTTGATACATAGCGTAAACGAAAATTAGCATGCCTTTTGGTTTTAGACTGCAAAACTTCTTCGCTCATCTCTATGACTATGACTTTAATTAAGAGAGAAAAACAAGAACCTTTTACTCTTAACTTACATATATAGGCAGAAAATGGAAGAAAAACATGCAAGTTCGTTACAACCGATGAAAAAATAAATAAAATTGGGAAATTTTCATTTTGTTATCCTGTATTATATTAAAATATGAGTTTAGTACATTCTATTTTTAATAATTTCATGTCAATATCTCGACCTCTTAAAAATCTTCTTTTAGTATGTCACCGTAGTTTTTTAGGACACGAAAAGATAAAATTACTTTTATTATTAAATATAAAAAAAAGCTTTTTAAAAAATCTGATACCTGAACACCTAAACTTCATTTTACCCTAAACATAAAGCAAAAATCTTAATTGCAAGTTTAAGATTTTTTTTTAAAAAAAATTATATATTTAATAATAAAGGCAATTTTTTTTTATGTCTCAAAAAATTGCTCTGAGATACTAAAAAAAGATTTTTTAAAAGGTCGAGGTATCAGTATGAAATTATTAAAAATAAAGAGTATCAAATTCATATTTCGATATAACACAAGTAGTAAAATGAAATTTTCCTAATAAAAAATAAATAAAAGGGTTAGTAACTGCAATATGAAGAAGGATTTGACCTATTACAATTATTATGTTGGTGTGTTATTAGAGGAATTATTCAGTACACCAAGTGTGCCACGTCATATTATTTATGTGGTACACCGTTCAATGAGATTGTACCATTTGGACATTTTGTCTATATCAACTTTTCATTTTTATTTTTCTCTTTCCTAATAGGTAATCAAATGGTACAATCTTATTGGACGGGTGTCCAAATAGTACTATCTCATTAAACGGATGTACCATATAAATAATATGACGTGGTACACCCGATGTATTGAATAATTTCTCGTGTTATTACTGCTGTTACTCTGCGTTTTTTTTTTTTTTTTTTGCATTTTGAGTTATCCATGATAAATTGTTTACTGCTTTTAAGAAAATTACGTATATAACCATTTTTTATTGTTTTTATATTTAAATCACTTAATATATAAATTTGTATATAAATTTGTGTTATTTACGTAATTTTATATACCTTTTATGTAATCAAAAGGATGGTTTTAAAAAAAGTTGTGGTTATTGAAGTGATATAATAAAAATATGCCACTTAATTTTGATTACATATAAGGTATATATATTTTTACTAGATAATGGGATAAATGTTAGTTAATAGAGTAAATTGTACTGGTACACTTCAAAACTATTTATGTTTTGTACAATGCATCTTAAACTTTTAATTTTGACAAATTACACGAATTTTAAAATCTATTGTAATTAAGGTCTAATGACTAACTAATGTTATTAAACTGACACTTTAAGACACGAGATTCCCACATAAAAGGTAAAGATCGTCATTTTTCAACTCATGGCACATCTAATTATGCAAAGCACGAATAGTTTAGGATGTAATGGTGCAATTTACTCTAGTTAATACTATATTTTGAGTGGTACTTTTGTTTTTCTCTTTTTTTTCTTCTAAGAAATTTGGTGATAAAATGTGCCACTTGATTTGATTACATATGATATAAATTTTTACTATATCACTTTAATGGCATAAATGTTAGTTGATACTACACTCAATATTTTTGGTTTTTCTCCTTTTTTTTTTCGTTTAGGAAATTTGGTTCTAGCTTCCTGCTTGCTTGCATGGTTTGGCATTTGGCCAAAGCCACCTTTTGACCCTCATGCCGCTTTGAAGCCTAAAACCAGAACCACCTGTAAAGAGTATTGCACTACCACATGTTGTGACGAAAGTCACATGGTTAAAAGATTATTAGTGCCCATTTGGGACTTCTTTTGGGGGATGATTTGAAATATAAAAATATTTGCAACATAAACGCCAGGAAAAATTCAAAAATACCCCTCATAAGATGCCATCTTTTCATTTTTGTATCCAGTGGCATAAACATAAGAGACTTATGCCATTAAGTTCAACAGAAAAATTATAATTTATTGAAGACTAAATATGGCATAAATGTAGGACTCTTGGATTTTGATCACATGTCAGGTAAACTCCTCTTGATAAATTGTCTTTTGCCCAATATGCTTTAAAAATTGAAGCCCAAAACATAATTTTAAAAAGTAGGTTAAAGGTATTTATTTATGAAATTACTTTTATCGTTATTGTTTAAATTTATTAAGATATTCTTAATAATTCGCTATAATCTTATATTTACTCACTTAATATATTCTCTAACAAACTGGCCCTTGGTCTCATACGTTACGTTATTGCATTACCTTTAGATGCATTTTTCACCTCACCCACTGCCGGTCCCATGCTACTTGACATGGCCAATTTCTATTGGTCGTCAGCTGTATTATTATTTTTTTTTTTCCTTTTGGCAGTCAGGATTTGTGACTTTGATGATATAAAGTGGTCTATGTAGGCCTAGGCGAACTTTGCCTATTTTTTAAGGAAAAAAACAATGTGGCCCAACTCCAGTTGAAGTGCAAAGAGACAATTATGCTCGGTGCCACATTTGCTTATCATGAGGCATGAATTGAAGTTTTGCCATGCTCAGAAAGTTCTTGCAAGGTATGCAACATGCCATAATTTCTTAAAACAAAACGACTTGTCCAGACCTTTTTGCCCCTCATTACCAAACGTTTCATGAGACAATGTGGAGAAAAGAGGTGTGCTTCTCTCAAGGATTCTCAACCAAATAAATTCTTAGTGATAAAGAAATCAAAACAAGTTCAAAATTGGCAGATTATTAAGTTAAATTCCAAAAACTTGCTAATCCTAAATGTTAGGCATTGTTGAACGGTATGCCCTTGTTCACGGCTTCCTTGACAGCGTCCCAAGTAGGGCTTTGGAGGACGACGACCACCCCGAGAGACCACAACGGGAGGAGCGACGCTTGGTGAGGAAATGCGTTGTGGACTGGTTCGGGACCTAGTTGCGTTGACGGTTGCCGGCAGTGGAGAAGAGGAAGATTGAGAGATGCAGAGGGAGAGCTCCTTGTAAATAAGTATCTCATGGAGTTCATCAAAGGAGATGGTTGTGTCACGACCATTGATCACATCAACAATCAGATGATAATCCTCATCGAGACCATCGAGAATTTTCTCAATGAGATCCTCATTGTCCATAGGCTTGCCAAGAGCCACAAGCTCGTCAGCACGACTCTTAATAAATTGCATGTATTCTGAAATTGTCTGAGAACCCTTAGATGGCATTCTTGATTTGTTCCTTAATTTGTTTGATATGGTCATGAGAGAGTCGAGCATAGATATTGGCAAGAACATTCCATGCATCACGGGAAGTGGAGGATTGTGTAATGAGGGGAATGAGAGACGGGGTGAGAGAATCGATTAGCGCACCAAAACTTAATTTATCTTGTCGAAGTCATGTGATATATTCCGGATTTGGAGAGGTGGTATTGTTGGCGGTGACAGTAGCCAGAGGAGGAGGATGGGAGCCGTCAATAAATTTATAGAGATCATAGCTAATGAGAATAGCCTCCATCTGAAGCTTCCATGAGAGATAATTTGTGGAGGTAAGTTTAACGGTGTTGTTGACATGAACGACTATCAATGGCTTGGCCGGCTCTTGAGCATTTGGAATGGTGACTTGGAAATTATCGGTGGCCATTGCAAAGGGAGGAGCGGCGGTAGTGATGGGCGGTATGTGTGGCTGAGTTAGTGGCTACTCGACTGCAGCGGATGGTGGGTCCGGCTGCGAAGAAGTGGGGGTTTGACGGCGGCGAGGCGTGGTGGCACTTGGAGATGTGGTGGCTGTGAAGAAAATTCATTGAAGAGTCTTAAGAGAATTGCTCTGATACCATATAGAAAAGAATCGAGAGAGGAGAAAATATGTCATCTTCTTCTCATTGAATAATATAGGTATTTATAGAGTTATGACTATAATTTAAATAGTAAAAAGAGGAAACTGGATAATAGATAACTTAACTAGATAAAATGAGGAAACGTGATAATGGGTAACTTAACTAGATAACAAGAGGAGACAGAAAATCTAAAAAATGAATATTTACAAAATTTAAATGAATAAATTAATTAGAATTAATATCTTCGTTAATGTTAATGTGTCAAGCAAATAAAATAACAACTCCATATCCGTAAACTTTGACTGTGCATGGATGATGCAAAAAGGAATTTAAGTCGATGAACCCCTAAGTATAATGTTAAACTAACTCCAACTATCTCTTGAAAACAAAGCATATTCTTATCTATTCCATAATAAATTAATATTATAGGTCTAAATATGTAATTATCATATTCTTAACTAATGTTGCCGATGCATATGTTGACTTACTCATAAACTTTTAGAACAACACACATATATTTTTTAATTTATTTATATTACAATATAATATACAATGTTACATATGTTTGTAGTTTTTTTTTTTTTTTTTTTCTGTCGTCCATTGGAATAATTTTTAGTTGTTGACCTAATGCAACAACTTCGTAGATGGTTCGCATCAAAAATTTTGTTGATGGTAATATAGATTATATGACTTAATACTATTAAAATATGTTTTAGAAGGAGAGCTAACTTAATAACAATTTTTTATTTAGCTCACTGTAAATTATCAGGCCATACGTCAATTGGCATATATGTAATAAAGTTTGACTTTTATAAGTGCGAGATTGATTATGTGGTAAAGATATCAGTAACAGGGGAAAAAAATGTGGTTTAGGCCAATCTGATGCCAAAAATTACATACATACGTGCAATCAATATTTTTTCCTAAAAGAATTTAAGAATTTATACCTCTTTTTTTTTTTCCTTTTTTTGATGAATATTGTTAGTACAATCACTATTTATTAATATTGCCCTAGCTAGCCTCATGCAATATTTCTTATTCTTTTCTTTTATACTTATAGAATGTTCACAAAAGAATTGTTGACGTCAAATTAGCAAAGAAAGTGCATTAATTAAAGTAATATTAAGTTGACTATTTGAGAAAATTCAAAGGGAAAAAAACAATTTTTTATTAGCTCAGCTTAAATTGACTGGGTCTATAAACTCACGCGTCCATTTAAAACAGTCAAAGCTTACGAAATTAGAACAGGACAAAGTTGCAAGACTAAAGAAATTAAGTGCAATATATTTAATCCTTACATGAGAAGGAAATAATGAAATACAATTTGTATACTAGTCATTACCTAATTGAAGTCATGTATATAAGTTTAAATTTTATTAGTGAGAGAACCCACACAGGTCCAACTGGTAAAATTATATATATATATATATATGGTATTGTTCTCATTATATAATTCAAGAGATAATATTTTAGACTTTATGGTGCAGTCTGCAATATTTTCTTCTTCTTTTTTCGGAGCTTTCTTCCTTTTTCTTTTTGTCCAAGGAATAACGATACACTTTTAATTGGAACCAAGGCTTTCTAGAAGAGGATTAACCTTAATATCAAATGTATACATGCTTGTTATACCTTTAGGGGGCGTTTGGTATGCGAGAATCAGTAAGAATCATATTCCCAAGAAAGTGATGGAGGGTAATATGATTCTTAGGAATAATACATTATTGTGTTTTGTTCCATACATGAATCTTTTTCAAATTCCTAAGAATATTACATTACTGTGTTTGGTTGTTCGCATGGAAGAAGATCCATAATAATATTATTAATAAAAATAAAAAAATAAATATTATTATTATTATTATTATTATAAGATTCATATGATTTTGAGATTCCTGAGAATTTGAATAACACCATGTTGGGTGGTATTCAAATTACCTTAAAATGAGGGAAAGTGAATCCTATGATAATCACTTTTCTGGGAATCTAAATATTATAATTCTTGTACCAAACATGGTAATATTGTAGATTCTCATTCTCATCCTTAAGATTACTGCATATCAAACGCCCCCTTATAGTTTAACCAAAAAAAAAAAAATTTTAAAAATTCAAGTAAAAGACGATTATGATTAATGGGAAAATGGTAAGTAATAGCGTAGATGTGACTTTGGTGTCTTTTTTTGTTTTCATTTTTCTAATAATATCATGTGAAATTAATTAAAATTTTATATCATGTCAAATAAAAATTATTAAAAATATTTTAATTGACGTGGTATAATTTAATCATGAATGACTCTAATATATGAATATGATTCAATCCAGAATCCAGATGTGAAACCCATTTCTAGTTAATGTAGTCAATGATATTTAAATGACATTTTCCTTTTAGTTTAGTTTGTCTCTCTCGAGGGAGCTTTGCTTAAAGATGGGTCAACGAAATGCTAATTTCCAATTATGCCCCTTATAAAGCGTGGCCTGCTGCTCGGTGATTAAATTTTTGGAAAAGTACAAGTTGTCTAGAAATTTTACTGGTCTAGTCTCATCATTGGCTCTTTTAATTAGTCGTATTCTTTGGTCTTTTTGATTAATTTGGATAACGTAACTCCTTTTGTATTTTATCTATGATTTTTTGCCTCTATATTTGTCTTAAGCAAACACGTTTTTACTGAGTAATCAGGATTGAAAATTTTGCATAATCATATCTGATTACTTCTAAGTTGAAAATATGAACAATGTACAAGTTTTTTTTTTTTTTTTTTCTTGAGAAATGATTATACACAACGTTGTTAGTATAAATTGACATATTACCAAACAATTATAGTAGGTTCGTAACATTATGGTACTTTTATATTTTGGAAGAATCAAAATAAAAGCATAATCAAGATCCAATCCACTATTTTATGAATTTTGTTGTAATTACATGACTTTTTTTTTCTAATAATTTATTTATTCTTTATTTTGAGATGCCAATCATTCCAACCTTTGCCAATGTCTCTATCTGCTCCGATAATGATGTGAAACGTGGGATTTCTTTCGTTATGGTAGTTTCTTCGCAGTCACTCCAAGAAATTTTTGTTCTCAAGAAAAACAAAAATAAAAACTCTGCAAATCATTTATGAAATGACAGAATTGCCCTCAAAAGAAACATAACCGCCAAAACTGTAAATGCGTGAAGAATGAGAAGAATCCCCCCGAGAACTGCCCTCTCTCTCTCTGTTCTCTCTCTCTCTCTCTCTCTCTTTAAATTCTAAAAAGTTTGCGTGTTAAATTATAAAGAAGCGTCCAATGCAAGAAATCCAAAAATCCCACCTTTGATTTTCATTTTTTTTCCCCCTTTCTTTTCCCTTTTCCTTTTCTCTTTATCTTCGTTATTAATCCTTGCTTTCCCCACAAATAATATTATTATATATGTGTATATCTATATTATATATATCGAGTAAGTAGAATATTTTAAGATTGCCAACTTTTTTGGTTTATCTGCCGATCTCAAGACACCTACTTTGAGAATTTATCTCATTCTTTCTCTTCTCTTCTCTTCTTCTGGTAAGTTTCAAATCCCATTTCCTCCTCTAAAGAATCTGACTCTTTTTTTTTTTAATATTTTCTTCTCAGTTTCATATTTCTTTCTCTGTTTGGAAATCTTCAGTGTTTGAACCTGTCAGATGGGCAAATTTTGCTCCTTTCCAGTCTTCAGCAATTAGATATATACAAGTCGCTTCGATTTGGTAACGCATTTTTCTTTTTTCCCTTGTGTTTTTATGAAGCAAATGTGAATTTTTCTTCGGATAAATTTATGTTCTTTTTTCTTCTCTACAGTTGACTTGGTGAAGAACGGGATTTTGGCGGGACTGTGTATTGATATTTAAGGATGTTGGGAGATTTCATCACCAGAGTTCTTGTGTATGTTTTTATTCTTTTAGATCTTTTTCGTTGTTGTTTTTCTTTATCTTTTTTAATCCAATTTAGACTGATCTTGTTATATATGTGTGTGTGTTTGTGTGTGTATATATATTGGTTTCTTTGTTTAGAATGGTTTTCGGGTATGCATACCCTGCATTTGAGTGTTACAAAGTCGTGGAAAAGAACAGAGCTGAAAATCAAGAACTTCGGTTTTGGTGCCAATACTGGTAAGAAACTTTTTTTTTCTTTTTTTCTCCTGTTCTCTCATGATTTCTGGTATTGAAGTTCGTATTGGTTAAAATTCTTGTTAATATTAAATTTTCTGCAATTATTTCGCGGAAAGTTCAATGAGTTTTTTCTTTTTTTCTTTTTTTTTGAGGGGAAAAATGAGTTATTATTATTAGAATAAGGAGTTAGAAAAATAGCAAAAGATTTGGTCAATGCAGAGAGAGGATTTGTCACCAATTAAACAATCATAAAAATGGGCATTATTGAAATGGAATATTATTAGAGAGTTTATAGTTTAATACTGATATAAGCCTCCTTAATCATTAAGTTATGCAAGTTTTTTTGCTAGAAATAAAATTATGCAAGTTGAAATCACAAAGTTATTGCTTATAAGTCTAAGCAACTAGAAACATAAATCAAGTGTTGGAATATATGAGAAAGCTTATTGGGATTATGTAGTTTATGGGCTTAAGAAACCAGAAATGGAATTAATGAGTAATTATGGGTTAGAAAGCTTTGATGAAATTTCCTCCTCGGATCATGATTCATGTGATTTATTGGTATTTATGGTAAATTGACCAGTTAGAAAACAAAAGGTTTTTTTATTATTCATTGAATAAATCATAGGTAATTTTCCTTCAGTAATTTGGTGTCGTTTTCCGTCACATTATTGAATACATTTCTAGCCAAATATCAACTTTTAATATGTGTTTGATATATGATTGCTGAAATCAGAATGCCCCTCTTTGCAAATTTTTAATATTAGTTTTTTTTCTTTTTTTGGCAGGATTCTTGTAGCTATCCTGTCAGTGCTCGAGAGAATTGGCGATGCATTCATTTCATGGTACATTTTAAGTTAAAGCATTTTAGAACGACACTGTTTTTATTTTGTTTCAACTTGTAAAATCTAAAATTATGATAATGAACTTGTTCTCAAGGATGCCCATGTATGGAGAGCTGAAGCTGGCCCTTTTCATCTATCTTTGGTATCCAAACACCAAGGTAACATACACACATATACATACACATATACATACATATATGAGGGAACGGAATTTTCATACACCCCTTTGGTGATTGAATAGAATTTATAAAAACGAGTTTTTTTTTTTTTTTTTTTTTTTTTTTTTTGTACAGGGTTCTGAATATGTGTATGACGCCATATTAAGGCCTTATGTAATAAAGCATGAAATAGACATTGATCAGAAATTGCTAGCATGGAGAGAAAGGGCCTGGGATTTGGCTCTTTTCTACTGGAAAAACTGCACAGAACTTGGGCAATCTGCATTCTTCCAAGTTGTTCACTACTTGGCTTCTCAGTCCTCAAGGTTTGGTCACCATAACGGCACTGAGGTAACATTTTCCTTGTCATTTTCACCCTCATTCTTCCCCCTTTTTTCGCCAACTAGAAAAACATATTTTTTTTTACATTTTCATATACTCCATCCACGGATTTCCCATCTACAATTCAATTAATTGTTCCCTTAGTAGGAGGATAGAAAGAATAAATCACGAGACGTTACAAACATAACGAAACTTTTGACTAGGAAAGAAGCATGTTTTGAGAATTTCCTATCTCTCTCTCTCTCTCTCTTTCATTCCTTGTACTAGTCAAGAATAAATTCATTATCACTTACTTGTGTCAACAATAATTCATTAGTGATACCTAATCCTAACATGGGTTTTTTCGTAAAATCTCAAGACAACATTCTTAAACTGCTTAATTCACAGTTTCACACACATAACATGGAAACGAGCGTGTTTCAAGAATTTCCTCTGTCAACAATAATTCATTATTGATACCTAATCCAAACATGGGTTTTCCTTAAAATCTCAAAACAACATTCTTAAAACTGTTTAATTACATGTCATGCAACAAAATGTACATGATTCATCAATGGTCAATTAAAACCATAAACACATTTGCATTATTATTTGAAATTCCACATTTTTTTTATTTATGAAAAAACACTAATTCATTAACCAAACTTTGCAGAGAGAATATGAACATCAACAACAGAAAACATCCAAGAAACAAGGAAGTAGTAGTACTGGTAGTGGCTCAGCCAACCGTGCCATTTCCGAGACAACCAAATCTAAGGTTGTGCAAGTAAAGCTTCAAGGACATAGTGAGACAGAATATGTACACATTGAAGATGCATCAATTATGCCAGATAATAATAATAATAGCATCACCCAAAAGCTCAGCCAACGCCTCAGGCGCTTTAAGAATTAGGAAAAAAAAAAAAAAAAAATTGTACAAAATCACCTCAGAAAAAATGGTAGAAAATTCATTTCATTTTTTTTTCTCTCTCTTTCTTCTTGTAATATATAAAATTCATTTATTTTCCTTTCTATAAATTTCCAATTCCCCAAGTTATGCAAGCTTTCTATAGAATCACTGATCACACCCCCAGAAAAAAGAAAAAAATACTTGTAGAACTAGAATTACACAAGCTGATGAAAGAGACGTTATGTTACGTTAGTTAACGGCGTTATCTGACGGGGGTACGGACGCGGAGGGCGCGGAGTAAGTGATCGACGGCGCGGGAGAGGGAGGGGATGACGTGGCTGTTGATGAAGGCGAGGCAGGAAGCGACGACGTTTTGGGAGGAGAATCTGAGCCAGAGGCGGCGGAGGAACCGTGGGCCGGTGGAGCTCGGGGAGGAGGACATGGGCTGGAGGTAGGCCCAGGCGGCCTGCTTCACGAGGCGGTTGCGGATTGAGATCTCGGAGGCGGCGGAGGCGGAGGCGGAGGTGGGGGAGTTTATTCCGCCGCCACCGGCGGAGGGGGAGGAGGGGAGGAGGTCCTTGAGGGAGGTGTAGGAGGAGGAGGTTGTCTTGAGGGCGATGAGCTCGAAGTTTAACGGCGGCGGCGGAGGGACGGCGACGGCGCCATTTTCGATGGGGAAGGAGGCACTGTGGCGGGGCTTGGCGATGGAGAGAGAGAGGGTTGTGGGGACGACTACGACCGACGTGGCGATCGAGTTTCGGCGGCGGATGTTCGGTGGGTCGGTGGTGTCGGAGGAGCCCATGATTGGTTTGTTTGTATCTTTGGAGTTGAGCAGAGGAAACGACAAATGAAGAGAGAGAGAGAGTGAGAGAGTGTCAGAAGAAGTAGGATTTCTTCCACAGAAGAGAGACGCTATTTATCAGTGTGTATTGTTGTAATGGGTGTTTGCATTTGTTGGATTGTTCTCTATCTCTCTTTCTCTCTCTTTTAAGTCTTTTTTCATTTTTTATTTTTTATTTTCATTAACTTGGTTTTATTCGCGTGAAAGTGAAACTCTCTCTTAATTATCCTCTTTATAACATTGATCTCTTTATCTTTAAAAAGTAATATATGTTATTCTTTAACAATAGAATATTAACAGAAAACCCATCGGTTAAGTTTTTTTATGAGAAATTAGCATGTAATTTGTTATTTAAGGTGTTTAGTTACTTGATGGTTTAAAATTTTAGTTTGAAATTAAAACTAATTTAAATTTGAACTTATAATTATGATACATCTATTATTAATTACATATAAGTTAAAAATTTTATAAATTTTTTGGTAGAATAAAAAAATTTATGATTTTTTAATATTTAAATTAATTTAGACTCAAATTAAATTTTAAATCATAAAATTATCAAAATACTCTCAAAATGGCAAATCAAAAGTTAATTTCAGTTTAAAACCTAACGAATGGAGTTTTTTTATCGACATTTTATTATTCAAAAAAATAGATATTACATTTTAAAGATTATGAGACAAAGCGTTACAAAAATATAATTTATCCTTTAAATTTTTTTTTTCCTTTCTTTTATTGCGAGTCTTTTGATGGTGGAGCATTTCTCCACGAGTAAGGATTGTAAATAAAAACCGTTAACCATTAAGATCAAAATTTCACGGTCAAAAAAATACTATGTCGGTATTATCATTTAACTCTTGGAATAAGATTAGAAAGTGTTAGACCTCATTCACTTTATCAATTTGAATCACAATTTAAATTTAAATTTTTGTATTATAATATTTTTTTTCACATAAAGTTACTTCTTAACTTAAATAAAAAATTTAAAATAAGTTCTTAATGGTTTATTTTATTATTAGTACAACATAAATTGTAATAAATAGCAGATTTTTAAAATTAAATTAAGTAAATAATATATTTAGAATATTTAAATTAAATAGCAGTAAAAAGATTTTTTACCTCGTAAATTTTCTATTTACAATTAGATTTATATGGTAAAAAGATTTTTTACTGCGTAAATTTTCTTTTTATGACTGGATTTACGTGATAAAAAAAATTTTATCACATAAATTTTTAATTTACTATTATTTACTTTAAATAATTTTAAAATCTGTAACTTAATTCGATTATTTAATATAGATACGCTATTTATTTCATTCTCACCTATTACAATATGACCCACAATTTTTTTTCCCTCTGTCTTTCTCCCATGGCATGCTAACTTTTTTTTCCCCTCACTATCTTGCCTTTCCTTTCCAACTTTTTTTGTCACCCACTTTATTAATTTTTTAGAAAAAATTTATTCATGAGTTTTAAATAATAAGCAATAACAACGACTAACGACAAGTGGACTATTTGTCCAAAACTACTATTTTACCAATTATGAAAGTAAAATAACATAAATTAACAATTGGACCTTTTTTTCTAAGAAAGTAAACAATAGGAGTCGATTTGCTATAAAAAATAATAAATAAATAAATAAAAGGGACTTGGTTGCATACACAAAAGACACGTCACAATTCGTGTAATTCATTTCTTGGGTTTTGAAAGGTCCTTCGAAGGATGTGAGTATATGGGGTGTGGTTCTAGGAGGTTTGAAAGCAGAAAAGTTTTAATGGGAGTTTAAAAAAAAATTTATTGGTAAAAGAAGGTATTGTTTTCGACTATAGAATCTAATTAAAATTACATTAAATTAAAATATATATATATAACAGATAAATTTTAAAATTTTAAAATAAAAAAATATTAATAATTTATTTTTTCTAATCTTATTATAAAAATTCCCGTAAAAAAAGAAAAAAAGTTGAAGAGTACAAAGAAAAATGAGTTGTTAAAAGGGGCCAAAACTACATGGGTATGCACATTATATCATATCAATAATAAACATCCATTTTTCACCACTAATTATCAAGTCAAAATGCATTTTTTTTTGTTTGACTTGTTCTATATGTGGAACAAAATCAGAGGCGGAGCCATTCATTGTCCAGTAGGAGCAGCTGCCCCAATCATTTTCTTAGTTTTATATTTCAATTCTTAAAAATCATCTATGATATTTCTATTTTATCCCCATTAAAATTTAATATTTTTATACATATCCCCACTCAGTCTTACACTTTAATCTTTATTCTCATTATTTATATGGGAGTTATTATAAAATATTATCATACATATTTCTTTTATTATTTATCATAAAAATTCAATATACGCTCCCACTAAGGTGGAATGATAGTGCGTCATAATTGCTTAAATCTAAATAAGTATCCCTATCTTTTACCCATTTTTAGCGACCATGAAAGTGGCCTTTCAAATTGTATTCCCACAAACTTGGTTAGCTTAACCATATAACAATATGCTTACCACAAACCGCTTCACCATTTCTACCTACAGAACAGATTGGTCCTTGTAAAACAAAAAACAAAAAAAAAACAAAAAAAACAAAAAAAAACTATTCTGTGACATAATTTTAGGGAAGGCAAAGGGACGTTTCTTTAGGGCAATATTCCAGTATTTCATGTTGTCATATTTTGACTTGACATAAAGATGTAAGCCTATCCTCATAAGTTTGCCTATGATATCTTCTAGCACTTAAAAAAAAAAGAGTACTTGTTTTATTTTATTTCAGAAGTTGAAATAAGTACTAATTATTAGAAACTAATTTGCAGTTAGTAGTAGTACTTTTTCAACGATGAAGTAAAATTTGTGACGTTAGTTCTTTTCACAACTCAAATTTTATTGATATAGTATTTTCTCTTATAAAAATTTACATTTAATTTTTTTTATTATAATATTTTTTTCACATACACAACTCAAATTTTTAACATGAGTTTTGAAACAAACATACCCTAAATTTCAAAGAATGCTGTCATTTTCTCTTCGCATGTTTCTTCTTCAGCGAAGATTTTAAAGATCACGAAGGCTGCATTGGAGATGTTGTCGATGCAGAAAGAGGGAGAGAGAGAGAGATGTTTCTTCTTCTCTAGGACGTAATCTCACGTAGAAAGACCTTTATAATAGTGTATTCGTGTTTTTTATTTTTGTAATTTTATTACTCGGTAATCTAGAATTAGGACGTCTAATTCTCCAAACATCAAACGCCCGTTCGCTATGAAAAACGCCTTATCCTCACATTTTCTAGAATTGGGTTGATCCCTGGGCCCACAATAAGATGCATGATGAATGGGTCAAAACTAGTCACATGAAGGAAAACTCTTTCTCACTTTCCGCCAAAAACAACCAAAGCTTAATTGTATCAGTCAACAAAACAAGCTTTGACCATTAAAGATCGAAAATTGAAACAATACAATAATTTAAAACCATGTCTACTCCATGTTTAACAAGTCAATAACGAAGGAACAAAATCGTTTAATCTCGTTGCCAAACAAACAAATTAAAATTAGATGATCATGACCTCATCGACCTGACTCTAGGGTCCCCATAAGGTGTTTCTATCACCCACTCAATTAGTGCCATTTCCTTGTTGCTTCTACTTTCCGTGTGTGGACTATGTGATCAAATTTAATTTGTGGCATTGAACTGTTTGCACATGACCAATTCCTTTTCCAACTTTGTCCTCAAGAATAAGACTCAAACCTGCTAGCCAGTAGCATGCGGGCACAATTGCAAATCACTCCATTGTCCTCTTTTTTTTTTTTTTTTTGGTGTGTGGAAAACAACCCTCATGAATTTGTGCTATATAAAATAACTCCGTTTTCATCGATAGGATGATAGCTGACTTAGAACTTTTTCTTCGCCCCTTAAATAAAAGACTTGTCAAGTAGTGGCTGACCAAATTTCCAAGGAATTAAAAGAAATCTTACGTTAAATGGATCGTGGACGATTGCTAAGTTCTGCAAAACGATGCAGGAATGACCCTAAAATCAGGCAGACATTTTTTTTTCCCAATGTTTTCTATTTTCTAACATCATTACCAGAAAATTCCTTTCCGATAAGCTTAAGGTCAAGAAGAAAGAAATACTATACCTTCTTAAACTATGGGTTTAAGAATGAAATATGGCAAAATCGTAGAGGACAAAAAAAAAAAAAAAAAAAAAGAAATTATAGGTTATCAGGATAAATGTATAAAATGTTTACAGAGTGTATTCCATTGCTTAGAAACAAAGGGTCAATGCAATCTTTAGGCCTATGAGATCTATGTTGCCCAGAAAACAAACCAGTATCCCTCTGTTGCCATGTGTGCAAGTCACGGCATTTACAGACCAGTTAATACGACTTCGTGATCCTAAACTTATCCTACCGCACTCATCAACGACTGGAAATGCATACGATGAGATTATGCATTTAGATTTAAGCTCAAATTGTGTATGTTGAGGGTGGTCCAGTATTATTCAGTGCATTCATGCTCATCACAATTGTGAACTTCCATCGATGCTTAAAACATCAAATGTCAACATTTTTATTTTACCAAGGGGGCCAAAAATATTACCGAGCTGTACAGTATAAAATATCCCCCACGTTGCTATCCATCAGAATCTTCCAAAATTTTTGCTGGTGTTCATCAGACAACCAGCTAAGCTAGCATCTTCATGCCATGGAAGGTCGCCAATGAGGTGCAGAGATGATTTCCTACATTTAGCATCAGAAAAATTAAAGTTCACCTTTGAGAGAAGTCCATAGTAGTGTTTGGAATGTCCGCAATTCCTGACGGTGGGGTTTGGGGCCTTGGGGTACTGACATCAGTTATTCCAAAGTCTCCATGAAGCATATTTGCCCCATCCCAGTCAACTCCAGCTGTATTTGAAGTTAGGGAATTGAGCACCACAATAAGAATGAAAACAAGAAAGCAGAAACAACACAGAGTAAAACAAAAGCCAGCATATTAAGAGGGATACAATCTGTTCTCCACATATCTGTAATGCTAACTTCAGCATCAGATAGAAGCCAGTAGTCTGCATCGTTCTGAAAAAGTACAAAAATCATTTTTTCAGCGGGAGTCCATATATTGCAACATAAAAGTTGTACTATAGGATCTTATGATGTAAAGATATCCAACTATATTAATGATCTAAAAAAGTGGTACGCAAGTCCATGAAATACACGATGTGCACGTATATATGGTCAAATTGTATTAACAAATGTTTTAAGATCCTAAGAAATCCCTTACACACCTACACAATGCTCGTCTTTTAAAGTATCTTTGTTTTCTTCTTCAATTACTTAACAATGAAAACAAATTAATCATCATAATTACACTTACATCAACATCAGAAGGAACAATCTTCATCATTCCCCCACCATAATCCTGTGAAGCGTTAACATCAGCACACATGTGATGACTTTGCGCCTGAGGTTCAACTTCCTTTCTGGTGCTCTCCTCGGTCACCACTTCTGTCACTGTAGGTTCACTAGATCCCGAACAAGAAGCAAGTGGAAAGTTCACAGGTGGCTCAGCGCCATTCATCTCCTCAAACTTCTCCTCAAATTGACTACAAGTCAACAAAGCAAAATTTAAAATGAATAAATGAATAGATGAAAATGTACAAGAGAGGAAATATCATTAACACACATGAAAATCTTCAATAAGTCGTCAACACATGCAATGCAAAGTGTTACTGGATGAGTAGCCATGTTATAGAGAAGAAGATGCTGAGCCACACAAAAACTGCAATCTTACCTAACAAGATAGACATCAATGGGACCCATTGTGCTTCTGAGAATTATTCTGTATCTCCTCTGCAGATAGTCAACAGCCTGACAAATATTGAAGGGGACCTTTGCATCATGCATCAGCACCATAAACAAGAAAGTGTAACAGTAAGCCATACTAGCTAAAAAATTTTATACTCGACTTACTTCATCAGGATCCGGAACTTCCAGGGTTGTCCCATGCGGAGCTTTAATTGCTATAAGGGTTTCATTCTGCAAGAAGACGAAGCACAAGAAGTTTTACATCAAATCTCAAGGATCATGGGATCAGTCAGAGAAATAGAAAGTATCATAGAACTATCAACTATATAATGAGCAATAGAATGAAGAGCTTACTTGGAAGCATGGCAGGCTCTTAATGTCATCTTCAGTCACAAAAAGCGACCTAAAGTAGTAGGAAGGTAACATGTCATTAAAACGTATAAGTGTATAACTATTAAACCAGAAATGTAATAAAAAAAATATAATTCAATTCTTCTCAAAAGAAAAAAAGAAAAAGAAAAAAAAAAGAGTACTTTTGGTTGTTTTCATTTTCGCTTAGGTCCCTTAACCTCTCCTGCATCTCTCTGCAATAGTGTTGAAGCATTATTGTTATCCAACAGTTTCAAGCTAGCAAGACTGACTTCTTAACAAGTAAATCAACCATATAAACCTTATTCGATCATCTAATCTGCGCTCTTCCATTGAAAGGTCTTCAACTTCGGCCTGCATGAGAAACCACTCCATGAAACTACAATGCTTTGTGCTTTCTTGATAAGAAATATAAACATAATTGACTTTACATACCTGTAATAGAGAAATGTCACCATCACCCTCCCCTGGCCCTGAAGCGTCAAGTCCCCTAATGAATCATTTAAAATCAGCACTTTTGTGAGTCCTGTATCTAGATAAGCAATATAAAAGAAAGGAAAAACATAATTATAAAATGTTTTGAATTCTCAAATATTACTTCCAACGTATTCTGTTCTTTAGCTTCTTCTCAATGAGACCTATGCCTTCCAAAACATTTGTTATGTCATATATCCGCCTCTTTTGCACCTGATTATCAGCATATTCAATCAGCCACTGCCGAATAAAGAAACGCATATATTCAGCCAAAGCATTTACCTCCAAAGTTTCTGCCGCTTTATTTAGGTCAAGAACACCATCTTCTGCATGCTTAATTAAATTGATAAACTTTTTTGTCAAAAGACCTAGCCAAGACAACCTTGTCACTACAATGTCCCATGAAAGCTTAAAAATCTATATCAGACATCGCATGAAAATATTAAAAAACATAGTCCCAAGTTACCAAGAGAACTATCATAGCGACAGCTTCCAGCTGGAGTTAAAGGAGAAGGAGAACCTGCATTTCACAAACAAAATCTCTCAGTTGAAGTTCTTTTAGTGACTGATGTTTTCAATTTCCTTTTCAGTAAAACGGACGAAGCTTTTGTTAAAGCACATATTGAGGAATTCACATTAAGAAAAGTCAACTTAAAACTAGCAACTGTAGAGATGATAAAACTCCTTACCAGCATTTGACACAGGAGTCTGAGGCGCAGATCTGTTGCCTTTAGAACCCTTTGACCTATTGTATGCTCTTCCTCCTTTAGCCGAAACAGGAGTTTGCATAGGACTGTTAACAACATTGGTATATCCAGGACTGCTAGTCCAATCACTATGATCAGCTTCATTGTTCTCTATAGTGTTCTTCCGCTTTATTTGCTGAAAAACACCAGAAAGTCATAGAGTATCCGTTCAGTACTATGAAAATTTCAAGCAAAGACCCATCACCAACAAAGAAGGTCAAAGAAAAATACAAAATTAAACCACAATAAAGGTACTACAAGAACAAACGTGACAACTTGGGAAATCCACAAGTTCATAAGATAGTAAAGCTAGTGATTAATTAGAAGTGTTCCACCATATTAAACGCAAAAGAACGAACAAACTCAAATTCTCCGCTTATTACGATAACAATTCACCAAACTGAAGAACCGTCAAACAAAATGCAATAAAACACGAGAATTGCACATCTTCAAGTCCCACATTGATTCCAATCTCGGAAAAACCCTAAACACCTCAACAACAAAATGAGCGGAGAGCCAAACACAAGGAGTCCAAACCATTTCAGCATCAGCATCGGCAAAATTATCATCAAAATTAGAGCAATTGCGTCACAATCCAGCGATAATCAGCCAATAACGCAATAAAACCGGAAACATAGACTTGTAAAGGCATAAAAAACCTCAGAACTCACCGGAGATCGGACAACAATAGCCTCGGGCTCTTGATCGGCGGATTTCCGAGCATCGGCGGAGAATCGGTGATAATCGTCGTGAGGGACGAAAGGCGGCTTCGTCGACGTGAACGCGAGGTGCCTTCGCAGCGGCGGCAGGGGCTGGGCGCCGCCCCAAACCCCAG